AAGAGGTTCTGACACTTTATCCATCTGTAAAAAAAAAACATCTTTAAAGGAGAACGCGCGTATTTTTACCTATTTTCCTTTAGCCAAAATGTCTCAGCGATTGGGACACCGTCTTCTCTACGTCTCCCTCAGCGCCTTCTGAAGGCGGGTAGCTGCCGAACTGACCCGGCCCAGGAAGGGTTCCGAGCAGAGCCCGCTGCCTTTCCCGCCCCGTTCACACACGCGCCTCAGAAAGCAGCACCATGCCCCCAGCAGCCCCGAGCCTCTCTCCACAGCGCGGTTCCGCGCCTCAGCACCTGCACCGGGACGAGGAACCGGTCGGAGTGCCTCCCCCGCCTCGAGCTCCCTCCCTCAGTAGCCCTGAGCTCCCTCAGCTGCCACACGGGCGGGTGGCTGTAGGACAGGCTCCGCCCCGCCCGCTTCGGCCGCCCAAGTCCCGTGAACTTTCCTCGCGCGCCCGCAACAAGCCACCCCTCGCGGGCTCCGTTCCCGCTCGGAGCCGCGTGTCCGCGGGACGCCCGGAGGGGAGCAGCCCAGTCTCTTCGCAGCCCACTCCCCTCGTATCCCTCTCCCGCCCTCCGCCGCTCCCCGTCCCCGCAGCACGCCCCGCCCGGCCCGCCCCGCTCCGCACACGCCCACCCCCGGCCCCTGCCCCTTCCCCAGAGCCGGGCTGAGTCCCCGCCGCCGGCTGCGCTCCGCGGGGCCGCTGCCCCTCCGACAAAGGAGGTGGAGAAGCAGAGGCGGGAGGACGGCGAGTAGGAGGAGGGGAGGGGGACGCGGCCGCTCCGTCCGGATGCGGTGAGCCCCCGCTTCGCCCGGCAGCGCGGAGGGAAGCCGAGGAGCAGCCGCGGCGCTCCGCCACCATGGGCTGCTGCACGGGGCGCTGCACGCTCATCTTCCTCTGCTCGCTGCAGCTGGTGAGTGCGGGCACGGCTTGGGGGAGGACCAAGTTCTGCGGTGCGGGGCCGGAGCGGCTGCGGTACGGGCAGAGGGCACGGGGTGGGGGGAAGACCGTGGCCATCCTCTCTTGTTCTCTTTTTTTCACCTCCCTGAGAGCCCCCGTAACGACCTCTCCTGCACTTTGCCGGGGTTCCTTTCCTGAGCGGGTGATTGAGATGAGGAGGACGCGTCTCTCTTTGTTTACTGAAGTTGGCGTATTTGTTTCTGAGAACAGAGTTGTTACAGGAGCGAAGCGGCCCCGATTAGCGATAACCCTTCCCCCGGCTCGTTAGCCGGGCGATAACATAATGCTCTGCCTTTGGCGGTTCGTCCTTAGTCCCGACAGGATTTAAAGACATTTTTCCTGTGACTCGGAGTCATCATTTTACCACATGATCACTCCTAAGAGGAGCGCTGTGCCGCGCGTGTGGCTGCGAGGAGAGCGGTGGGGCGCGTTGGCCGCTTTCCTCCCCTCTAAATCGTTTGTGGATTTCCCCAGCTATCTCTGGCAGCACTTTGCGGTGCCCTCTGCTTAAATCCAGCACAGACGAGTATTTTGCCTGACCACCCTTCTTCGTGTCAGGGCTTTGTGCCTGTGCCGGCTGCTGTACCTCCATTGTGCTCAATGCGAGGGACGGGATGGAGCTGAGCGGTGTAGGCACTTGGGTGGTACCCAGAGGCAGGGCAGGCGTGCCATTGTGCTTGTGCTGTGAGGAGAGCTGTGCTTCTACCATTCGGTCTTTGTTTTTTCTTGTTCTGCATCAGTTTTACAGATGCTCTTATTGACTGCAGGCGAATCACTCCTGATTTACTTCAACGAGTGTGGGAGGGGAGAGAAACCCTTTTTCTTCAGATATATCCCTCCACCGGTTATGAAGGTTATAATAACTGTATTTACTATTCTGGAGAATTACTTGGAGGCTATAAAAATTGAAGTAAAGTGTGAATAGCCACCATAATCTGCAGAGAAATGCATATAAAATCTTTCAGGAAAGGATTTGTGTTTTATAAGACACCTATCAGATCATGTAACAACTTCCAAAAATGACTTTAATGTGCAGATTTTTCTACTGTACTTATCTGCTTTATAACGTTCTGCTGTCATATCTGTATCTTTCAGGCACTGATAAATGTCTGTGTGGCAAAATGCTTTCACTTTATTTCATTTTCATTTAAGGATAAGAGCTGTGCTTCAGATGCAAGGTGTAATCTGGTAGATGTGAACTTAGGGCTCAGGTGCTTCCTGTGCTCTCAGTGGTAGCAGTGTTCAATGGATGCTTGTTGAAGTTGTCACCACGGGTGGTTTTAGAGCTTTTCTAACATCTCAGAGATCACGAGTATAAAGTCTGCAAGCACAACCACATCCCCAGACATTGCTGTCATTAAGTGACACCTGTGTTACCTCGCATCCAGTTATGGGAAGGGGAAAGGCATGATGCTGGCTGTGGGCAGCAATGTTACAAAAGCTAGAGCACTTTTACTGCTCATTCCTAAGGTTTTGGGAGTACAGGTGACCTACACAACTTGAGGAAAAACTTTAGAATCATGGAACTATAGAATGGCCTTGGTTGAAAAGGACCACAATGATCATCAAGTTTCAACCCCCTGCTATGTGCAGGGTCACCAACCACCAGACCAGGCTGCCCAGAGCCACATCCAGCCTGGCCTTGAATGCCTCCAGGGATGGGGCATCCACAGCCTCCTTGGGCAACCTGTTCCAATGTGTCACCACCCTATGAGTGAAAAACTTCCTCCTAATATCTAACCTAAACCTCCCCTGTCTCAGTTTAAACCCATTCCCCTTTGTCCTATCGTTATCCACCCTTCAGGAAGAGAGATGGGCATGTGTATGTTAAAATTGTTTACCTTAGTCATATTTTTCTAATGTCAGATAAGGGTCTGTGAGCAGTTCTGCCTGAACCTTAGGATTAATCTTCAGATATCATCTGAGAAAGATGGACCTTACAAAATATGGCTGGCAACACCTTCTATAGCGTATGGACAGTCAGCCATACCATGTAGGCATACTGTAGCACACTGTGTAGGTTCTTTTTGATATAAAATGGCATGAAGTAAAAAGCTGAATTCCTGGAAATACATACATACATACTCAAGGTTTAGTTGTTGTTTGAAAGCAATATGCAGTGTGTTGTGGTCTTTGTAGCTTCTTCATTCATTGAAACTAGCTTCCGCTCTGACTTCTGTCTGGTGTGTATGTTTGTGTGCTGCTGGGATGAGGAGTTACAACAGTTACTGTGTGACACTCTAAGATACTGTGACCCTTAACAGTTACATATATAAACTTCAAGAAGATTTTGCTTGTACTTTTCAATGCCGTTTGTCTGCCAGCGATTTTGACATGAAATGAAAATAGTTTTCCATTGCTTCTTGATTCATGAAAACATGTATTGCTGATTGACAGCTTTTCCATTTCATAATACATACATCTCAATATTGAACCCAGTAATCCCACGATCATTCTGCATGTAGTCTCATACCATTTGACAGTATTCTCATTCTTCACACCCATCTGTGTGCATCCCCATCACTGTGTGTGACGTGGGATTTTGGAGATAATCACAGAGGAGGTTGGCTGGGTGGCACCAGTGCTGCAAGAGCTGCTAACAACATGCTGTCCTGAGCAGTCTCTGTACACCTCTGCAGGTTTATTCTGCTTCTGGAAGCTGGGGGAATTTTGCCTAAGAACAGTGTTGTGCCCCCTGCTTTTAAACCCTGTGATCTCTGTCACTGTTTAAAGTGAAGCATTGTGATATGCCATTTCCAAAGTTGTCAGGCTAATAACTCAGAAGTGTGTGCGTATCTTAATGACAGATTTATGCATAAAAAGATGATTAGGAGCTATGCATACGTCTGGAAAATATATCATGTGGATATATGAGTCCTTTGGATTGCAGCCATAATTCTCACTAGTGCCATCAGAAGTCACAGACGTTGGCCTCCTCTGTAGTAGAAAAATCAAAGCAGCTGCCAGGGTCGGTGTCTGTGCTTGAGTAGCCACTATGCTGGAGAAAACTGCAGTATGAAAATGCTTAAAAAATAAAGCAAATAAAAAAAAAAATTCTGGAAGGGGTAAATTGGCAAAGAATTGCAGAGACATTTAGCTGTGTGAATCCAATTGATGTTAATATGTGTCACAAAGTGGAAGCCTTCATGCTGCTTTGAAAATGTGTTTCTGAGTAACTACTATTGCAGGATAATTTTGTTTTAACATTTACAGTAAGTAGAAGTTTTTTTGCTACCTAAAAGCATAATGATAAGCATGCACAAAGAACTATAAGTAACAGAGATCGTGAATGAGATTTTCAGAATAGTGAATGGAAGACAAACAGAAGGTGCTCCGTCCCCTTTACTGCTTTGCAAATCTCATTTCATGCCTTTTTCTTTGCTGCACTGAGTTCATTGTATAGATGCTGATTTAGCAGTCTATGTTCTGCCTAGCTGTTGGCACAGAGCAGTCTATCCCCTATTTAACCTGTTACTTTCCAAATAGTTTGTGTCAACAGACCCCATGGGGAAATGATTCTCATGGAAACACAGCTTCTCTATAGCAGTGTTTTGACCAAGTCACTGTGGACTGCAGTTGGTTGTTTTAACAAACTGATTCTTTTCTGAATATTCATGATGGTGATTGCAATTAACATTAATTATAGCAATGCAGGCAAATCCTTACCCTTGGAGCTGAGACTGTAAATTACTCTAAATTAGACTAAATGTAACATTTCACTATTTTTTTACTATAAATAGTGGAATTTTATTTATGTGAGGAAGTGCACAGATTTTCATCTCGTTTGAAAATGATTTATAAAGCTACAAACTAACTTCTATTAATATGCCTCTTCACTATCTTACAGTTAGGCTGTCTGTGCTTGTATATTAGAGCCGACAGCAGTTAGTTAACAGCTCCCAGATTCAAGAGATTTGATAAATTGAGAAGGTAAAATCTCTGAACCGATAAATTGTAGCATCTTTTTATGTTGGTAAAAGAATCACTGGCCCATTGATCTGGAGATGAAGCATCTGTCCACTGGTAAAGACGCAATGTGAGGGAGCAAGCACAGCACAAACAGGGATGAGGTAAATTGGGATTTTAGCCTTGAACAGTATGCTGTTTGTGGGATGGTTTCCTGCTGAGAAAACTGATGGGGGGAACAGTGTTTTGCTCAAGTAACTCAAACAACATTTCCAAATCATGTAACAGTTGCTGGTGGCTGTGCCTAAGAGCCTGATACGCTTGTTTTGCAGGTGTGTGAATGCCCTTACTGTTAACATTAGAAGTAATAGGCTGTGTCCAGGCTACTGCTTGAGTTACATCTTAGTAAGCTGAAATCCAATGTATTAGGTTGTATCTTTTTTTTCAAGATCTCCATCAACAGGAATAGAAGAGTAACAACTAGCAGTAAATGTTTTTCACTTTGTTTTCTGGTTTTATACAATTGTTGTATAATAATAATTGTTATTATGCATTTTTAGTGCATCAGCATTGCACGTGTAACTGCTCCACTCACCAGCAATTCAACCTCAGCAGTGAAATTCCCTTCTTGTAAAGCTGTGTGCCATACTTCTTTCAGTTCAGTCATCCAAAGTTGGGAATTCAGGACTTCAGGAACTCTGGTCTTGCAGAGCTGTCTGAAAGTTGTGAACTGGTGAGTCTGCTACAGAAGCCATGCCACAGTTCCTTTGGTTTTGGCTTTATTCACCACAGCAGGCTACTTTCCTGCAGTTACTTGCTGCTCCGTGATTGACAGTCTACTGTCATATAGAAATATAAAGGATATCTTCCACAGTGTTGAAGTGAAAGATTTAAGGTTTTATTGATCATAATGGAAGTTAATCCAGTGAAAGTTGTTCATTACATTAGATCTTCTTCTTGTCTATAAGATCAGTAGGTTTTGGAAATATTTATTTTATGGATATTGGAAGATGGAGTTCATCTGCTACATTCTGCCGCTACAAGATT